TTTTTGTAATTGTTTCCAGAGTATTTCGATTGTTCTGGTTTATCTTGTCTTCTAGCTCTTTCTGTAGTTTCAACATATTCTTCTCAATTTGTGTAATTCTGGCTTCCATCATATTCTTCTTCAAACGAGTGTTATGCGGATGGGGTGTGTCCAACGCTTGAGGCGGTGTATCCAATATTTGCTCCTTTTGATGAAACATGTATATGTTAGTTGATGTGAATGCAAAGAAAATAACAAAATGCAAAATGTCTAAATACATGATGCATGAAAGGTTCGAGGCATTGATCCAAAAATGTGCCTGTTATTCTGAATAACCCTTATTGGTGACAAAAGTGTTACGTCTGAAGAGATAAAACTTTTTGATGGTATAGATCCCGCACAGCTTCTGACAAGTTGATTCGTCTTCCGCCTTTTTCCCCGGTTGAATATCGTGTCGAATCATTCTGGTTCCTTTGGCTAAACTTGTGCAGGTGACGAGCTGTTTGCCCCAAAAAGGTCTCGAAGGACGGCATCTTCGGCTTTCACTCTATGTCGAGCTTGTTCCAAACGAAAGTGCTATCGGGGCCCTCCACCCGAAGTTTATCGACTTGTTTCTAGAATTTATCAATAATGATCTCCAGCTTAGCTAGGGTTTCGCCATCTTGTTCTCGCAGTTTTCGAAAGGACTCTCCGGGTCAGTAACATTTTTCTCATCTTGCCCCTGCAACCTTTGCCTCCGAGTGTTCTTTGACCACGGCTGGGCTTCTGAGCTTTTTATCTCTTTGTATTATAATCTCTTTGTCCATTAATGCAGATTATTTACGTTTAACAAACACATTTTTGGTGGATCAACACCTCATTTTAATGATGCGAATGATAAAAAAAATGCCAAAGAATAAAAATGAAAGGGAGGAAAAAAAGTTAGTGAGATAAGGAAAATAATAAAAAAATGATGAAAATGAAAAGTCCTACCCCATATGATATCTACCCACATGATATCTACCCTACATGCTTATTATTCCTACCCGGACATGATCTCTATCCCGCATGCTAATTTCAAACAAATCCTTACCGCATATTTGTCTAATTCCCTGTACTCTCCCGGTTTAGGTTCTAAAAAAGGTACTCGAGTTCTTCTTGCTGGTGCCCACTTGGGCTTACCAGACCCTTAGTCCTAAGCCCATCACAGGCTTGTGTGGACTAAGTTAAACTTGAGAGGAAACATTCCCTTATGCCCGCACGGTGAAAAAATTCACACGAAGACATAAGGTATATGAATCCCGAAGGCTACTTGCTAGGCCTGCACGATGAATAAATTCACACGAAGACATCGCTTTTACCCCCACTTAAATAGGGTTCGGAGCTCGGGTATAGAGCCTTAAATAGAAAACTTTAAAAATCTGAAATCATTGAAAAAATGTCAGTACAACTATTTATTTGAAAAAAATAATCAAAGGTAAATAATTAGAATCGAATAAATAAATTAAAATTTACAATTTACAATTTTCGCATAAAAAGACAACCGAAAATTAATTCTGGCCTGACTCACTTACCTGTCCCCAGCAGAGTCGCCAAGCTGTCGCGACCGTCTTTCGGTTGGGCTCCGGAATTGGGCTTCGACTTGGATTAAAAGAATTGGAGTCGCCACCGACCACTTTAAAACGAACTTAGGTGGGTCGGACACCATCTTACCTGATTTGCGTTGTACCAAAAACGTGTCGGGTTCGGGAGTCGGTTACGATCAATGAAGGATTAGCACCCTTGAACCGCCCTTTCGATACCAATTAATTTATTGATTGTCTTTAATTGCGAAAATTAGAATTTAAATTTAAATTTAAATTATTCGATCTGAATCACTTACCCTTTGATCGGTTGAAATTACGACTGAAACAAAATATGTTAGATAAAAAAACAAAAAATAAACACGAAAACAAAATGTTAATATGATAATAGAAGATAGATAAAAAAGATAATAGAGATGAAAGAAAAATATTTAAAAAAATACAAAAAATAATATCAAAAGGTTAAGTTTAAAAAAATATATTTAAAAGTTTAAAATAATAACAAAAGGTTAAGTTTTTTACCTTTTTCCGACGATTTTACCGCTTCTGATGACTCTTGTTTTTTCGTTTTGCTTTGGCTTTTGGGCTTGCTCTTGTTGTATATTGCTTTGCACTTTGTGATATTTGCGGGGCTTCGGCCTTTGGTTATTTTGGTTCTGCTTTGCTTCGTGGTTCGGCTCGATGATATTGTTTACTGTGGATTTTGTATGTATTTGGTACTGTCTCATTCTTTGCTGTTGGTCGATGATTCTTTTGTCTTTATGATGGTTGTTTCACTGTTGGTTTCTGTGATTCCTTTCGACCCCGTGGGTCTCAATTTTGGGTACCTCTGATGATATTTCCTCCCCTTGGCAGTGTTTGTGGTGTGGTGGGGTATAAATACCCCACCGTTGCTCCTCGGTTCCGATCTTCACGGTAACCACCCCATCGTTGGCCGGGGGTTTCGAGATGGGTCAATCCCGATTCCCTTAGCCGGATATCTCGGTCGTTTATGACATTCCTTGACTGGCTCCTGTTTCCCTCCTACGCGGCGCTGGTTCCAAACGTGGAAACCCTAACTATTTTTTGGGCTGGTTCAGGCCCGACTGTTGGACCCATTGGACTCTGAAAAAAAAAACAAAAATAAAGATAAAATTAATAATAAAAAAATAAATAAAAAATAAGTAAATAATAATAATAATAATAATGTAATAAAAAAATTCCAGAAATCTATATAATATATATTTAAAAAAATATTTTAAAATTATATATTATATATATTTCTTAAAAATGTTTTTAAAGTTATATAATTTTTTTAAAAATATTTTTAAAACTATATATTATAAGTTTTCAAAATGATTTCAAAACTATATAATATATATATGTTTTTCAAAATGTTTTTTTAAAAACTATATATATTTTCAAAATGGTTAAAAACTATATAATATATATATATTCAAAAATGTTTTAAAAACTATATATTATATTTATTTTCAAAATATTTTAAAAATTATATAATATATAAATATTTTCAAACATGTTTTCAAAACTATATATTATATATATGTTTAAAAAATGTTTTTAAAACCATATAATATATATATATATAGATATATATATATACATATATATATATATGTAAACTAGGATTTTCCCCCTCTACAGGGTTAATTCAATAAACTAAACCAATTTTGCTATTCGAAAATTCTCTCGGAGATGCGAACAGAGTGAGCCGCCACCTCTGATTTTATTCTAGCATATCCTTTTCTGTGCTTTATTCTGGTACGCTGCTCTTCCTTTTCCATGTAATAGATAACGAAAGTCTTTAAAGATAAGGTTAACAATCGATCTTCAGTTGAGCTTGGACAGTTTCAAGTATCTCTTAACTATCAAGATTGAAAAAAGAACGAGGTAAGAAAATTAAAAGTGTGTTTATCATAGTTTGTAACAACTATCTCCTCAGATTAGAAAAACTTCAGTTTCAAAAGGAAATGCTTACGGCTGATTTTCAAATATGAATTTTCGTTTGCTTCTGTTCCCATACTTTTGGAACTTGTAAACCCATTTGTTTCCCAACTCATTCAGCACTGTAAATCCAATACATATCCCAGCGACCAAACCACTACCGTAGCTTGTCAAAGCAATTTGCCAGGTAGACATTGCATCTAACCATGAATCTTCTTCTTCTTCCCTTGGAGGAGGTGACATGGGAAGACCAACTTCATTGCATTTCCTTGACAATGGCGGCCCGCATAATTTTGGATTCCCAATAAAAGAATTATTTGAAAATGTATTGAACTGGTTGCTTTGTGGTATGCTCCCTTCAAGTTGGTTGTAAGACAAGTTCAATGCTGCCAGGAAAGTTAGACCTGTAAGCTGTGGAGGAATCTTACCTGACAGGTTGTTCATTGAGAGATCCAAAGACTCAAGGTCTTTTAGGTTGTCCAGTGCTGATGGGATTTCTCCAGAGAAACTATTATGGGACAAGTTTAGCACTTTGAGTGACCTGAGAATTTGTATTTGTTCGGATATTCTGCCATGGAAACAATTGTTGGAAATGTCCAGACAAGTAAAAATGGTCAAAACTTTCTGGTAAAATATTTCAATCCCTTTGTTGACAATAGTCACAGAATCTTCATAATACTCCCCTCCGTTGTAATCCCCTCCAATGTACTCCAACTCAGCTTTGTTGCCATTACTCATCTGCATCATTGCCTTCAAACATTGCAAAAATTCAATGGAAAAGTCGCCAGAAAAATTGTTGGAAGCAATGTCCAGTATGCGCAGGTTTTGAAAGTCATGTCCGGTTTCAGAGTCTTCAATTGTACCATCAAATCTGTTTTCTCTGAGAATGAGAACCTTCAAGGAAGGCAACTTCATCAACCAGATCGGGAATGTATCATGAACCATATTGTTTCTGAGGTCCAAAACTTCAAGTTTTGAGCAAGTGGCTAATGATCTTGGCAGCTTCCCTTCAAATTTATTCCCGCCGATTTTGAGAGACCTTAGCTGACTGGCTGGAAAGAAATCAACGGGTAGTTCACCAGAAAACTCGTTAGAAGCAATGTCCAGCACATCCAAAGTCGGGAAAACAATTTTATTTTTGAAATGTTTAATTTGACCATAAAATCTGTTTTCCCGCAATACTAGAACAGTCAACATAGGCAATTTCTTCAACCAAAAAGGGAATGTATCACGCAGCATGTTGTTTCCCACATCCAAGACTCCAAGCTGAGTGCATTCCGCCAATGATCTTGGCAACTTCCCTTCCAGTCTATTATCGCTAACTTTGAGTAACCCTAAATCGGGTGATTTTGCAAAATCTGGTAAGGTTCCACTAAAGTTATTTTCATGAAGATCCAAATATCGGAGGGCCCTCATATTGCCCAAGCAATTTGGAATGGGGCCACTCAAATTGTTATGAGATGCATCGAAAGTGGATAGTTGACTCATATCACAAATAGGTCGAAGCAAAGTGGCCTACGAAGAAGTAAAACTCTGGTTGGGTAAAAGTTGGTCCAAAGATGAGAGATGGTTATTAGCAAGATTCAGGTCAAACAAACTTTTCTTCCACACCCAGTTTGGTATTGCACCACTTATTCGGTTATTTGAAAGGTCGAGTACTTGTAATTTTTCTTGACTCCTTAAGAACTCTGGAAATGCACTTATGTTGCATGATCCCATATATAATTCCCTCAGCATTGGAAAAGAGAAGTTTGCATCACTTAAGGGAAGTTGTTTTGAAAAATCAATGGGATTGAAAGAAAGCTGTAACAATTGAAGAGTGCTCTTCCACAACCAATTAGGCACAACACCATGTATGTGGTTGTTAGAAAGATCTAGCTCAACCAACTTGTCTTGTGTTTTGAAGAATCCTGGAACTTCAGTGAGGTTGCATGAGCTTACCCATAGGCTCTCTAATTGGGGAAAATTAATACTGATGTTGTTGCTTTCAACTAACAAGCTTATATCGGATAGGTCGAGATCCCTTAAATTCTTCAATTGGACAAACGAGGAAAGCTTCATGGAACTAAAGCTATTGCCTCCAAGAAAAAGCCATTCAAGCCTTGGAAGTTGAAGGATAAATTTCGGGATTGGACCTGTTAAATAATTTTTGCCAAAATTTAATTCCTCAATCAATGAAGATGATGCATTGGGCAAGTCATGATTTTTTCCATCTAATTGATTTTCTTCGAGAGAGAGAACCTGTAATGATGGAAGGGTAAATAAAGAAGAACTTATTGATCCAGAAAGCCTGTTCCCACCCAAATGGAGATATGCAAGATTTGGAACTCCAAATCTATGAAATGGAGGGATTAAACCACTGAGATTGTTACCTGATAGATCCAGGTTCACCAGTTGACTAAGATTTGCAATTGATGATGGAATGGGTCCCGAAAAATTACAATGACTAAGAGTTAAATCTGTCAACAACTTAAGGTTACCTATTGATTCAGGTACTTTCCCACCGAAATATGTTTCAGAAAGAGACAAATTCCGTAAAGCACTGTTTGATGGAAATTCTGGCAACTCACCCATAAGATCGTAATTGGCTGAAAGGTCAATGCTTTGGATTTTTGGCAATAGTAGAATTTCTATTGGAAAATACCCACTCAAACCGCAATTCGCTAAACTAAGAGAAACCAGGCGAGAGGATATTTCCAAGAAATTGGGAGGTAAAGAAGAGATTGGGTTCCCACCAAGGAAAAGTTTGGAAAGAAAAGCAAGTTTGGAGAGTGAAGAACATAATGGACCCTTTAAACCACAGTTTGACATGCCCAACACTTGAAGCTTGGAAAGTACTAAAGATGTGGTTTTGCACCATTTGATACTATGAAATGAAATGTCCACTCCATCCAAGTTAAGCTCTGTTAGATTCCTCAAATTCTTGATTAATGTTTTGAAATCTGGATTTTCTAATTTAAGAGGTCGTTGAAGTTCATAAGGCAATGGATCATAGTCGTAGATGCCATTGTGTGGGTCGAGAAAGTGATAATATCTCCGATAGCAATCATCTTGATTAGAGAGATCAAGAGAAACTAACCTTGTTGAGAATGAGATCTTCACTGGAATTTGGCCATGGAAACATGAGATTGAAAGGTTGAGATGAGTTAGATTTGGGAGTTTATCAAACCCATAGGAAAGCAGAGTGGTGTTAAAGTTGTTTCCAGCAAGGTTAAGGTGTTGAATATGATGGAGATCGAAAATGGAGTCAAAGCTTCCTGAAATGTTCTTGTAACTAAGATCAAGCCCAATGACATGACCAAAAGCATCACAGGTAACTCCCCTCCCACAAACAACAGTCAGTGTTGACATCCCAAAGCTCAAATTTGGAAGAGAGAGTAAAATTTGGGGAATAGTAAAGATCATGCTGCAGTTGTAACAGAGAAGATCTCTGGTCATCAAGTCATTGCATTAGGAGATCATCCAAGGAAAACACAAGAGAAAAGAAGCATGAAAACAGAAAGAAGAGTGAAACTAGGAAAGGAAGAGTCTTCATGTCTGGTGGCTATGGCTGTGAAGGAAGATTGATTCAAATACAACATATTTATGCCATAGTCTTTGGCATTGCATGGAAATGTCAAAGTCTTCTTTCCCAATCTTTACTGCATGAGAATAATTCCTATGTTTAAGTCAAGTCATTAAAAATATAGCAATTCTTTTAGCTGTCTGTGTCTGTGATAGATTGGACACAATGAGTGGAAATTTTGATGATATTACAATTGTTAATACAATTTTCAGACCAACACGGCAATAACCCCAAGATAGTGTTCCATACAAAGGGACAGGGTTATAACTTGTCATTTCTTTAATATATTATTTGGTCAATCTACCAATATATAATTCAAAGAAAAGTTTATGATCTGTATAGACAATAGGTGTAGATGCTGGTGACAGCTATTCGAAATAGGTGCAAATAAAAAATATTTTGATTACACAATTGGATGTAATTTGAAAATGAATCAAGCTAGAATATGTAACAGAAAGTACCATTCCCCCCCCCCCCATCAAATACAAGAAAGAAAGCACAAAATCATCTATTTGATGACAAAACTTCTTGATGATGACCAGCTTAATTATATATTTTTGCTTAACTTTTCTGGAATTTACCCAGAAAATTCTTTAATTTCTTCGTTCCCAAAGTTTTTATTAGCATTTTTTTTGTTTTTAAATTGAGTTAATTTATTGAAATTTTAAAATATTTTAATTGAATCCTTAAAATATTAATATTGTATCAATTAGGCCCTTTAGTTAGCAAAACCACTAATGTGGGCATTAAATGCCAACTCAAATCAATCATGAAATGTATTTAAAATATGTCAAAGCTGACCTAAAGTTGAGTGAAATATGGATCTTAACTAACTATATTAATAAAATAAAAAAATCTTATTAGGGTTGTTAATTTTGTGGGGAATTTTATTAATCAAATTTTTTATTATTAAGTTTTAAATTTTGTTGTAGATGGCCAACAATAATAATAATTTCATGTTAAAAAGTTCTTTTTAACAGAGGAATGCTTTGTAGATAAAAGTGTGCATGTGTTGCTTATATATCTATTAATGACCAAATTTTATCCTATTGCATAGGAATTAAGTTATGGAAAGGATTTACACGAATCAGACAGGAGCGAGTATATGTAATGTAACAGCATCATCACGAAAAAGCCAAGGGCCCTTTGTCACCTCTTTCATTTCTCCATCCAAAGAGCCTTTTGGTGATGCGAACAGAGTGAGCCACCACCTGCAGCTACAAAATTTGTATCATACTTTCGGTGCTTTTCTATTTCAAATGCCACCAACTTACACGGAACGATTTGAAGCTTTAGGGGGACAAAGGCCATTTACCTCTGTCAAGATTTGTGGTCATATACCTAACCATAAAACTCGACAAATATGCCAACGTCATGCCTTCTTAACATCTTTGTCAAAATCAAATCCAGACGGGTTGCTCTTACACCATCTCGCAATTTCATGAACAACACCAGGCAATAACATGCTTAGGGGCTGCATAATCTGCAAATAAAAGCATTGGATAAGCTTTTTAACTACATAGAGATTCATGAAAATAAGGAAAAAGGGGTTGAGAATTCCTGGCCTACCATTGCTGCCTCTGCTTCAGTTCCACCAATTCCTAATGCATTTATCATTGATGTATGAACCACACCATAAAGAAATAGTATTCCGTCATTGTTAAAGACGACAAGTCTCAGGTATATGTATATGTATATGTAAGTTTCTTTCAAATGTATTGAGAGACAGACTAGGTGCCAAAGTTTCTTTCATTTGAACAAACTACCCTGAACTTGTATGCATGTACATGCATATGTATATGTATATAATTCCAGAACTAGTAGGAATAACTAGCATGTTTCCGACAGCGGACAAATCCGCCATTTATTGAAATAGTTATCAGATCTTGTCACATTAAGTTGTACTGAATGATCAACAACAAAATCCATAGGGACCTAGATGCTAAAATGAATAAACAGGTACATACTCTGGCAAATCCATAGGGCTCATATTTGTTAGAAAATTTTACCATTTTCTTCAAGTTGCCAATCTCTGCTTCAGCTTGGCCTGTTTTAAGTACCTCCTAAATTTTCATTCCATGTCCTGCTCCAAGTACATCCTGCAAGAATAAAAGAATATACATATGTATAGTAGTTTACAACTACTATCTTTTCAAATTAGAAGAACTCTAGTTTCTTAAGAAAATGCTTACCTGATGATTCTGAAACACTAATTCTGATGAGTCACCTTGAGTCACCTTGATCTTCTTCTATTTTGTTTCCCATGGGTTTTGAACTTGTAAACCCATTTCTTTCCCAACTCATTCAGCAGTGTATATACAATGCATATCCCAGAGACCAAACCACTACCGTAGCCTACCAAAGCAATTTGACAAGTAGACATTGCATCTAACCATGAATCTTCTTTGTGTTCCCCTGGAGGAGCTGGCATTGGAAGATCAACTTCATTGCATTTCCTTGACAATGGCAGCCCGAAAAATTTGGGGTTCCCAAGATAAGAGTCATTTGAAAATTTATTGAATTGGTTGCTTTGTGGTATGTTCCCTTCAAGACAAGTCCAGTGCCTCCAGGAAAGTTAGACTTGTATTTTGTGGAGGAATCTTCCCTAAGAGTTTGTTCACTGAGAGATCCAAAGACTCGAGGTCTTTTAGGTTATCAAGTGCTGATGGGATTTTACCAGAGAAGCTATTATGGGAAAAGTTTAGCACTTTGAATGAACTGAGAATCTGTATTTCTTTTCAGGTATTCTCCCATGGAAATTGTTGTTGGAAAGATCAAGACAAGTAAGAATAGTCAAGACTCTCTCGTAAAGCATTTCAATCCCTTTGTTGAAAATTGTAACAGAGTCTAGATAGTAACCCTCTCCGATGTACTTCAGCTTTGCTTTGTCTTCATTAGTCATCTGCATCATCCCTTCAAACTTTGCAAAAATTGAACGAACAATTCACCTGAAAATTTGTTGGAAGAAATGTCCAAATACGCAGCTTTGGAAAACCACTTTCTGTATTGAGTTCTGTAATTGTACCAGAAAACATGTTTGCTCGTAGAATGAGAACCTTCAAGGACGGCAACTTCACCAATCAGACCGGAAATGTATCATGAACCATATTGTTTCTGATGTCCAAAACCTCGAGTTTTGAGCAATTGGCTAATGATCTTGGCAGCTTCCCTTCCAACTTATTTCCACTGATCTTGAGCGATCTCAATTGAGTGGCATGAAAGAAATCAATGGATAGTTCACCAGAAAACTCGTTAGAAGCAACGTCCAAGACATCCGAAGTTGGGAAAAGAATTGTATTTCTGAAATGTTTAATTTCACCATAAAATCTGTTTTTTCTCATTGTTAAAACTTCAATGCAGACAATTTCTCCGACCAAACAGGGAATGTTCCGCGTAACATTTTGTTTTCCACATTCAGATACTCCAAATGATGTAACTTTCCAAAGTCTTTCGGAATGGAGCTTGTCAAATTATTGTTGAAAGATCGATTTGAATCAAATTAGACGCACCGACGGTTTCGGGAATCTTACCAGACAACATGTTCTGGAAGAGAGAAACATAAGTTAAATTCTTCAAGGATAACAGCCTGCTGGGAATGGAGCCTGTCAAATTGTTTACAACCATGTCCAAGTACTCTAGATTGGAAAATTTGTTAAAACTTTTAGGGATTTCACCGATCAAATTGGTTTTCGTCATCCATAAGTACCGCAACTTGCTTATCTGACCAAGTTCTTGAGGTGTTTTCATGGGAAAAAACTCGTTATAAGCCACTGCCAGAACCTCAAGATTGGATAGGTTACCAATTTCCTTAGGAAATGCCCCATTGAACAGGTTTCCGACTTCAACATCGGTAATCTTCCAATACTTGGTGGAATATTACCAGAAAAGTTGTTGGCACTAATATCCAAGTAAACCAGAGTCGACAATTGGTCAATTTCGTCGGGGATCGGACCGACAAAATAGTTCTGGGAAATGTATAAGATTTGAAGTATTGAACAATTGTATAGTATTGGGAACTCTCCGGGAATAGAATTGTAGAAAAGGTCAAGGTAAGTGAGGTTTTAAGGTCATATATAGTTGGAGGAACACTCACCGTGATGTTTTTTCCAAAAGATGAACTTCGGTAACGGAATTGTCAGTGCAGTTGATCTCCGGCCATCTGCACGGCGAAACGTTGAGTTCCAGTGTGAAATGGAGGGCGGATTGCCGAGCTGTTATTTGAGTGGGAAGAAGAACATTTCGTTCGGCGTTGATATATTGTGAAATAACTTTGAAGGGTAAGGAGATGACGAAAAATGATGAGCATAGTTGAGACATTTTTCCTGCATGAAAAATGATGTTCAAACAATTAATTTGATTAATAACATAATATGAGAAATCATTTTATTATAGTCATCACTATTATATTTATTTATTAATTAATTAATTTAAATCAAATATTTTTAAAGTCAAAATATTTTTGTTCGACCCCGTCATTAATAGTGCAATAAAATAATATTTAACCACTTTGTTTCACGGTCTAAGTCTTTTGCATAAATGCAAAAGCCCAAGTCTTTTTGTCCGACCCCATCATTAACGGTGCAAGAAAACAATATTTAACCACTTTGTTTTTAGTCAAGTCACTGAAAATGACAGAAATATGTTGACTGATATAATGGTAATGGAAACAACTATAAAAAATATAGGTTTGAATGTATTTAGTATCTTTTAATTCAAAAAAATAAAAGTAAAGAGTTCTATATAGTATAGATATTGTATAATATAATTGATTAAAGCAAATAATTTATAATTTGATAAAATTAGAATTTTAAGAAGAAATACTTCATGTATATATGCCGTTAAGTGTTGTAAGGGATGATTTAATTAGAAATCA